CCTACTTTTCAAAACCTTGTTACTCTGATGTAAATTGCTTTTGGGGTCAGAATCTTAAATTGTTTATTTGTTGTGCTTTTGAAAACACGCATTTGTGTGTTTCTGAAAAGGGCAGTAAAGATTTCTACCTCAGCAGCCTGCACTGGAAACAATGCTTAAGGCTCCTGACAGGTGGGTGGTCCCCAGGGTTGATGCTAGAAGGTGTGTGTGGGAAGGAAGACAACAAAGGATATTTGCTCTCACAGGCAGGAGAAGTGTCTCTGTTTCTGTTAATATTTCAATATCATGGGAAATTTCTTCAAGGCCACCAGTATCTTCCCCTCCAATTACCATGGCAAAAAGCTCTATTTCCAGTTCAACCTGCAAGCCTGCTGCCACCTAGGAGAGACAGAGGATCACTCACAGGTAAGGTGCATCTTTTACACATAATCCCCTCCAGCAGTGCTTGTGGCTGGTTCTTGTTCTGCGTTGTCTGATGAAATTAAAGACTTAGTGCCCAGCACACACGATTGTGCTTGCTAGTTACCCAGTATCTGTTTCACTAGAAAGGTCTGTACAAAACAGTGTCTCTTCACATTGCAGTTTGAAAGAAAACTGCCAGGTGTTTGTATTTTTTTCCCTTTAAATTTCCTTTTAGGTTCCAGGTGGAAAAGGGGAATTAGGACAGTTGGGAAAGAATCAAGAAGAGATGGTCAATGCCCCATGCCTGTCAGTGTTTAAGAGGCATTTGGACAGTGCCCCTAATAACATGCTTTAAATTTTGGTCAGCTCTGAACTGGTCAAGCAGTTGGGCTACATGATGGTTTTAGGTTCCTTCCAATTGAACTAGTCTAGTCTTGTCTGGTCTGAAAAGAACACAGACGTAGGGAGAAAAGTGAGATATAAAAGGGATGGATGTGTGGAGAGGAAAAGAGAATGGAAATTATTCCAGCCATTTTAAGTGCTGGGTTTTGGCTGGGGCTCTGGACTAGGAGATCTAACTTGCATTCTGGCACTGCCTCCTTGCACAAGTCATTGCTTCTTGATTCCATGCCTGTAAAAATGTTAGCAAGGATATTGCCTGGTATTACCTGGATACTGTGGGGATACTGGCCAGCACAAGATTTGTTCAGATACGACATGCAGGTGAAGAGAGGGACCGAACAAAAGCAGGAAGCATGAAAGCTTCCTACTTAATGGGACAACTTCACATACTATGGTGCTTTGCTAGGTAAAAGACTTAAGGTGGAGAATAGTTGCAAGCAGGAGAAGAAATGGTTGAGGCAAGAGTTTATTAGGTTCAACTCTTGAAGGTATCAGGACAGGAGATGAAGTCTAGGCGTAAGACAGAGCAGATTTAACAAGTACCCTAAACGATGGAAAAACTCAGAGGTCGTGGTAGAGTATCCTGTTTGCTTCACAAAAGCTCTCTTTAACCTCAGTGCTTGACCTGCTGCTTTCCACTGAACTTAACATGTTTATCCCTCTGCATTCTGGTGCAGGCTCTGAGACTCAGAGTGCACGTGGTGCTTGGTTGAAGGCAGCAGAGGGACAGCGGAAGGCAGCATCACTTCAAGTAACTTCAAACAAATCATGTGCCCTGCCAGCTCTATTCCCAGACAGCTGGTGCGAGAGGACCCCTAGATGGCCTGAGGTCCAGCTGAGTCTAGCAAAAAACAAAAGATCTTTTGTGTAACCTACAGGTCCTGGTGTGTACATCACTCTCAGCCCTGTGTGCGGAGGTGGTTGCTTCACCCGAAACCTGTCGGAAAGAGAAGAGAATTAGTTGCCAGAAACTGCTTCAGGCAGGCAGAAGGCACTGCTGGGAAGCAGGCTGTCTGCTCTTCCTCTGCTTGTGCAAATGACAGCAGAATTTTTTTAGCTCATCCTTCCCGTCACAATGTACAACTTGGGCTACAGCGGTATACCTGGGCCTCTAGCCAAGGCTCAGGTTTCTAACAAAAAAACCAAAGGAGCAGATTAATGGGCCAAAGTAAGTCTCCAAATTGCTCGTTACACTGCCTGGTCCTTACAACAGAATGTGAAACATAGCATTCTCAGCCTGCAGACATAGAGGAAGCTGAAGTACAAATTACATCTTTTTGGCAAACACCTGTGGCACAATCTTTATTTAATGTACTTTGCTGTGATTCTATTGCAGAAGGCATGATACTGGTATAAATTTTGTGTAAATAATCCTCTAATTTCACAGTACCCACTAAGGCAGTAGTTTCACTTCTTCATTTCTCACTGATTGTTTCACATCTGTGCAGTCCTTTTGTGCAAGTAACTTCCACTGTTACGATCTCTGAAGATCATTAGAGCAGATATGACCTCTACTTTTGCATGGCTCTGGACTTTATCCTGTGATTTTCATTTCCACATGAAGAACAGTTACCAGCATGCACTTGCACCAGAAGCTGTTAAAGGAAAGGCAGTAGAAGAAGTATTCTGACTATACGGCTCCATCTTATGGAAAGCTCTGGCAGAATTATAAACTTGCTGTCAGAAATCCTGCGCTTTCTCTGGAGTGCTGGCTGTTATGAGAAACTGGACTTTATTTTTGTCAGGATGTCCCAACATGTTCAGGCTATGGTATGGACAGTTTGGAAGGCACATAGTTAACTACTGACCCTGTCACCAAAAAGTTTTGGCTTCAGTGTGAGGAAGATGTGGCTCAGAATTGCCCACCATTTGCCCTACCTCTGCCCTCAGCATGTTCTGCTGTCATTCAGCAGTTAGTCACTTAGCTCTCCTCTCAAAGCATCTAGTAAAAGGCTTAAAAGATAAGCTAGATTTATCAGAATCATGGTGGTATTTTCCTTGACTGTCTACATATAGTGCCCTGGCATGAAAAAAAAAAGTAATGTGCACATCTTGAGCTCTAGGATGTTGGTATGTGATCTACTGATTTATCCTGGCATGTACCATGATGCTTAAATGTGCATTAAAGGAAAAAAAAAAAAGTCTCTTCGATGCCATATCTAACTAGGCTGATTAAAAAAGAAAAAAAAAAAATTACCTCTGCCATCTATCCTGATGGAACAAGCTGTACAGTAGTCTCTCAGCTGGTCTTGAACAGCTTTCTAAAGTGTCTAGTTGGCTGAGTTCCCCCAAGAGATCATGATGATCCCAGCAGGGTAAGTCTCCTGTGAGCGCCTCTTTTGATGACAATTAGATACTCGAGGAGGAGGAACAACAAATGTCAGACATAAATGTATATGTTTATTTCATTCCAGCGCTGTGGTACCATAGTAAAGGGATGCTGTGACTGCTGAGGTAGTGTCACTGTGACACCTCTCTCAACTCCCTTTTTAGAGGCCATCAGACTGTAGGTCACTTGCATCTAGAAAAGGGGTTTGGCAGGTGCTTGCTTATCTGAAGAGTGCTCCAAAGAAACAGCATGCATAAGCTGCAGCACATCAGGGCCGTGAGACCTGCACACTCGAGTCCAAGAATGTTTAATGTCCTTACTGGTTTCCTTAACCAGTGCTAATGTTGCAGGAAAAAACAAAGACTATTTATTACCAGTGCCAAGAAGAGGAACCACCTTTTTCATGACCTAGACCAACATGACAGTAGGACATTTATTTTCATGCTTTCAGTTAGCCTCCCTCTCCTGGGACCTGTGGGTCTAGCAAAAAAAAAGCCCATATAACAGGAGTGGTCCAAGCCTAGCTTACTCTAGCTTTTTGAGAGAAGAGTATATAACTGTCTATTAGGACAAATGGATGAGATTGGCCTAAATAGCAGCTGTCATTGCTAAATAAACTAAGAATGTCTCCAGCTGCAGGAGGTAATTTAGGATAGGTGCAAGTGAGAAGCTGACATTGGAAAACTTTGGTGGGAATAGCTGTCTTAGAACACAGGAATGTAAAAAGCTTCATTTTGGCTTTGGAGCTTTTGAGCCATCTGAAATGAAAGCTTTGCCCCAAGTAGTGCAATTCTTGAAACCATCTGGTGGGATTATAACCATTCAAATGAAGCTATTTTGAAATGACAAACCTTAGGTGGAAGCCCAGAAGGTGTAAGGACTTAGAGATCGTTGTTGCAGGCTCTCCTTTAAGCTAAATAAGCAAGGTACATATAGCATAGCTAAGGCAAATGCAGGTGAGCAAACTGAGTGGGAGGAATATGCTTTGCACTCTTTTCTGTCACATGTATGGCACCTGGGAGGACAGAGGTCATAAGCACACCTGCCTGAATATCGCTAAAGTAAAACCACTAGAACTGTGTAGTTCTAGCACAGAAAAAAGAGCAGTCACAAGCATTTTCTTACTGTATTTAATATATTCTCTAAACTGTGGCTGGGTAAATCTGATAATTTCTTGTGATTTGTCATGCAGTGCAAGAGACAATCTGCTGGACTGCAGACCTAGAAATGGACTTACTTAGGCTCACCACATTGGAACACACTGTGGCGCTATCTTCTCCCACACACTGACTGGGGTGACGCTGAGTAAGGGAAATGTGTACATAAATAAATGCTTTATTTCATCCTCGTCCTCTGCTGGTTCCCAGTGTCATCACTGCAGCTGTTTTTCAGTGCAGCTAAAGGCACGTGGCTGCCTGAATACAGCTGTGCCCATTTAGATGGTCTGACTGGCAGCATCCAGCAGTATTTCCCAAAGCCAAATGTAATACTGGTTACCATGAAGGAATTTGGTCCCTGAACCTGAGAAGTTTAATAAGAACCCATAAATAATCTGCGATGGGCCAGGACTATGCGTACAGGAACTGCTGTTCCTTACTGGTCTCCATCTTCCTAATAACACTAATATGCAAATAACACTGAAGTATTTCTAATATTATCTCCTCTCCTATATCCCATCAGTCATTATCAAATGATTCCAAATATAAAAATACCACTTGTTATCTCATGTTAATGAGATCAGAAGGTGACAATTAACAAGCAATGCATATTTGGACAGTTAAAAACCAAGGTACTAAGAGTTCAAACTAACCTTGAGAAGTTCACACCAACATTCTTCAGGATCACAGTGACTGCATAGGTGCAGCCTTCCTTTAGCACTCCAAGCGTCACTCTGGGTGGAATGAGATGGAAGCCACTAAGATGCTGTCTTCTTGTTGCAAGAGAAGATGTGTTGACCTTTCCTGCAACAGGATCTTCTATCTTTGCAAACAGAATTAAGATATTAGACAACAGATAAAGTTGGTGGCCATCAAGTTAGGTTCAGAGTTATTTAACCTACGTTTGACCTCTCTTCACTCATCCTGAAGAATTACAAAAAGACACCCTAATTTGAGTAAAAACTGAAGAGGCACTTTGAATATTGTCCACAAATGTATACTGGTGTGAGTTTTCAGACATACTAAGCTGTTCAGATGTCTTGGAGGAACGGGGCAAGCTCTGCTCTTTTGGAAATCAGAGCTTTCATGTGGGTGCCTGGTGCAGAACTATGCTTTCAGCATACAAGTTTGTCCTAGCAGTTGAGAGGAAAGGTACTTTTAGAATTGCCAGTAAACTTACACATAAATTGCAGCTGCTATTGTTTCAGTAAACAGATTCAAAATACCTTACAGTATTGATCCAGAATGAATTTTTCATGCAAAAGAGATGACTGAGAGGATATTAATATCAACAAAAAAGATGTTATTTTACCTTTTTATTTGGTATGGAGTTTGGTTGTCTCCCTTGGAGGGATGACGGTAATTTCACTTTTTCTGTTCTTGGCTGTCCTGCAACATTCACCAGCAGACTCTGAACTTTACGTTGAAAGGGTGTCTCTTGTGATCTTGCAGCCTTGTTTAGGTCTGGGAAGGAAAGATTTCCAAAAGCACGAAAAACAAAGCATTATATTCAGCCTAATCCTGAAGTTCTTGTTCAAAGACTTTTATTTTCTATGAAAGCATTTGATTAGCACAAGGACAAAAGAATTGGTCTAATTTTTATTTAAGAAGTCAAGAAAGGCATTAAGAAACCCCCTAATAGTAGCAAGGAATTAAAATTTAACTAGTAAATAAAGCTGTACTATAATTATTGGAACTAATTAGTTGGCAGCATCTCAGTGGAAACTTGCAATTAAGATATAAACACCTGTGAAAGTGATTAAAAACAGAAGAGGAAGTACAAAACCCCAAGCATTAAAATCAAAGTCGAGGACATTACTATTCCAAAAGCATGCCTGCACTGCACAATGACCAGTTGTGCAGAAACACCCAGGCTGATCAAGTAAAATCTGTATGTCCATATAACAACAAATTCCAGTCCAGGCCCCAAAGCAGTACAGCTCTGCCAGCACAACCAGTTAGGAAGCCCTGTCTCTGAGCAGGCTTTATTGTCTTGAATGCAACAATTAATTCATATGCATGACCTTTATGCTTCTGATTCCGAGCTTAAGATGGTCTTAGCTACCTTGTCATCTTTGAAATGTGCCCCACTGTATAATGTAGATAGACTGAGCATAGGGATGGCCAGAGGAACTTAGATCTAAATACAGCTGCTTTTGCTTGACAGCCTAAGACACATTTAGCTTATTGTGAAGTCTGATAACTTCTGGAGGGAAAACTCAAGACAATTATGGTGGCTGTCTTCTCACCAGGGTTCAACCTCTACATCAATATTTTGTTCTGAAGAGAATTGTTTTTTCTCAGTTTGGACTGCAGGCACTGTCTAGCTGGAATGCTAAGTCTAGTCAGTTAGTCATTGTGAGGAGGCAGAAACGTTATTTGAGAATAGTATCTTCTCTAGATTCCCCCTCTTATTTCCAGACAACAAATGCAGGTGGTAGAGAGGGGCTTCCCACCTACACAGCAACTGGCCCAGAGCTTATAAAAAAAAAAACCTAAGCATGTACATTATGGAAAAAAACACTAGCATTTCTTGTTTTGCCTAAAGGTAAGCAAAATTTGTGCTTTGACATTAGAAGTTGGTGTAGTTTGGGCATCTCCCCACCTCCCCAAACTGCTGATCCTTTTGTCACCTACTGTGTGGCTCTGGAAGTACCGATTAGTACATCTGCCCTGAGGTCTATGGATTATGCATAAAAAACAGAGGAAATTTAGCAAGTTTGAAGGCAACAGTTCTTGCAGAGCCCCACTACTTAAGAAAGGGTACCAGTATGTGTGGAAAGAAAAGGAAGGGGAGAAGGGAAGCTATAACTAGGGGATGCAAGGATAGATTTTGCAAGTATGCACTGCCAGAGCTCAGCTGTTGTGGCATTATGTGAGAGCCAAAGGTTGGGGCTAATTAAAGCAGACTGGTCGCTCTCCAGTGGTGATCACCCAAGGCTGTCACCACAAGCAGATGCATAAACAGAGTGAACGACAGCAGACATAGCAAGGAAAGCAAAACTAAATGGGGAGGTTTGAATGGCAAAGACCATTTAACCACAGCAAACTCTGTTCTAGAGTCTTGTGTTACAGGCCTTAATGAGCAGGAAAAATTGGCTTGTGCAATTTTTTTTAAGTAGAGAAATTACTTCTTGGCTTTGTCTGCAGTCCTACCCTCCCCATCATCCCCACATTGTTATAGCAGTCTCCTAGGGTGAAGGAGGGAATCTCTCCCATTGGTTTTATACCTCCCTCCATTTCTGCCAGTCTTGCATTCAGACATATTCAGAATGCTGAACAGACATAGGTGGATTTAAATTTCTATTGTAAATATTTTGTCACAAGTTGTAACAAGATAGATTAATCTGCTCCAAACTACATTCTGGAAGGCAGCTTTACCTGTTGTGCTGCTGGAACCTTCATTTTGTTTGGAATGAGCCTGCAGCAGAAGGCCAGGTGAAGGTGAGGAATCACTCGTGGTATTGAGACATTCAGATGCTAAAGGGAAAATAACGGAATACTGTGAGAAGCGTTTTTCATGATCATCATTCTTTTCATAAACACATTAAAAAAAAAAGACAAAGTCTTTGGCACTTGAATTTAGACAACTTTTGAAAGCTCTCTGCATAACCATGAGAGGCTAGGCAAATTCTGCATGTGACGTTTTTCTCCTGTGGGCAACAGGGATCACAAAATACCTATCTTGTGATTAGTCATTTCTTGTTCTCTGGCTAACTGAGCAATAAGCCATAAAGGGCTAACAGACAATCCAGCACAGGTCTTCTGGTGATTGCAATGTGGTGACTGCAAAATGAGGAAATATGGGAATTAGTGGGGGTCTGATAAAGCCCCAGAGAGGACTGCTTTCCTGATACGACTCTTTGCTCTGTGTGACTTTTAATCTCACTGTGATTTCAGTAACTTGTCAAGGCTGTTTTTCAAACAGAACTGAAGTATTCCTCTCAATGCTGTAAAGCTCAAACCTAAGATGGTTCACTTTTTCACTGCTTCCTGTCATCCAGTCATTGCTTTCCTCCTCTATCTTTCAAACTATCCTTAGCCTGCATGTTTCCTATTCCATATTGCTTTTGTCCCAGTCCGCAAGCTGCCCCTCTTACCACTGAGTTTCAGAATTCCATCTCCCATTTTTTTTTCCTACAGTCATACTAGTCTTATTCTAAACTTGGCCTCCTCAGTTCTTGCTCATGCACCCCTACCTATTGTTTATTCCATTTAAGTTTTTCTTGAGCGTTTCGCAGCCATCCACCCCTCATTCATAGCACAATTCTTCAGCTTTGCATCCAAAGCCTATGGTGCTTCCACATTCAGTGATGTCTGCAAAGGCTCCTTTAACACACTAAATACAGAAGTCTCATAGACCACCTTTATATTAGTGGATTAAACAGGAACATTCCCAGATACTGGAACATGATAATCTATATTGTTAAACTGTTAGAACACCTGCATATTGACTGTGCCACGTTGCAGTCTACCCAAAACCACTCTCAGGTACGCAAGTTTTGGCCAGGGAAAAGGCCATTTTGTTTTGGAAGACTGAATTTACACAGCCTACTCCATACCGGTGGATCTCAATGTCAGGGAATGCTGCTGGGTATGTTTCGTGTATCAGAATAGATATAGCCATTGTGGTCCAAGCATTTCATGTGTCAAAATGACTGGGAATACATGGGGTCAGATAATGTAATCTTAAATTTAACTGCAATATGAAATGAGGCAACTGGATAAAACAATGAAGAAGATACTAAAATGTTACCAGACAGAAGAGCTCAAATTACCTCTGCTGGGTTTTTTGATCATCTCTAGGGGGAAATCCCCACTTTGGTTTTTTTGAACTGGAGGAAGTTCCATAGACAGTGCTTCCACATCAGGACACTAGAGAAAAGTAAGAAAGAGGGCTTAGGTCTCCCAACTAAACACTGAGAAAACAGCAGACACCCCACCCCCACCCCTCACCCAACCCCCACGGGAAAAAAAAAGAAAAGGGGTCCAAAGGAAACAAGCAGGACCAAAGTGGTAACTATAAAAAATATACATCAGTATACTTCAGATTCCAAAGTACATTTCTGAGTATGCTTTGTGCACTTACAGCATTTATCAGGTAAGATTACAACAGGAAAGTTCCCACGGCCACCTTTAACCCAGGAGAGTTAGTCTTACTAATTCCCTCTCTAGTTAGAAGAGAGAGGTTTTTGAGGGGTAAGTGAAAAGACCCGAGGTTCAGTTTCTTCTCTGAATCAGACTCTCTCCAGAGTTTATGTAAGGAATCTACAGAGTTTGTACTCAATAAACATATACCCCCTCTGAGATATGTTTCCTTTGACAAGGGCATACAATTCCCAGTATTAATTCTGACACAACTGTCCTCTGTAATGGTTTCTCGAGATAAATTGAGGCTGAGATGTAAACCCACAACTGTCTTTGTGGGACTATGACAGAAACTACCTGGCCTATCACAAACTCATCCAGTTTTCACCTACATTACCTTTTTCAGGACAAACTCCTTTCCGAATTCTGATTCAAAATACGGAGGAATTATTTTGTTTCTTATTGCCATTAAGGACTTCTTTTCTTCATCAAGTTCTTTCCTAAGAAATTTTTAACATTGTTGGTAAGGAAAAGAAAGAAAAAAGCATTACAACTGAGTTAACACAGTTTTTCAGGATTATGTCTGAAACATTGAGGAATGGAAGGGATAAAGGCAAGTGGCATTTTTTTTCTGGTTAATCACATTGAGCGATATTCTTGTAATTGGCAATTTTCTTGGTGATAGATCAAGAACGGGCTAGTCTGGCATGCAGAGAAAATGTCCTCCTCAGATACTGATTCATGAAGGACCTGATCAAAATGCATATCAACTGTGTGTTGGCGGCTACAAAGAGCTCCTCCTCAAAACATTCTCCTGTTCTCTAAACCTTGTGGAACATGTCTGAGACTGCCAACAGTGTCTTTCCAACCTTCCAACAAACATTTAAATCTGAGAATTGGTATTTCAGATGCATTGCTAAAATTTATAATACAAAATTAATCTAATTTCCTCATTTTACCACAGAAAAACTTGATGGCTCTGTGGATACAGAAAAAGCTGTTCAAACTTATGAAGGTAAGATTCACCAGAGTAAAGACTGGTTATGTTTTCAGCTTCATTTAGTCCAGTTTTACACTACTATGGTTTCACTGGCTTGCAGGGTCTAATATCAGCTATGAAAATTATCATCATTAATCATATTGAGAGTTTTGACCCTGGCTTTAGAGCTAGAATTGCACATGATGCTCTTGAGTGCTGGCTACTCATATATACATATATTTAAAGTCATACTTTAAGAGTGTAAAATGGTATATTAAAATATAAATCTGAAATTATAAAAGTTTTTTTTATCTTCTGCAAGTCAGAAAGTAATTAAGAAGTAGTATGGAAGAGAACTTAGTTTTCAATTGCTATTTAACCTTTCACAAAAAGAAAGAAAAAGCAAGTTCTTGATCATAATATTAGTTCATCACCATTTCAAGTTATTCTGTTTAATTTAAGAAATAGTAAATGACCTAAATAGCTGTCAATATAACTATTCTAATTCCATTGTGAATGAATGTATGTTACAGATAACTTTCTCTGTGTTAACCCTAGTTCATGCATCAGGTTTTCATTTCTACATAAATTAAATGCATATTTTTAATTCTTTAAATGTAGACAGTTATGCTTGGATTACACTGAGGAATTTGACATTCTATCAAATCCAAAAAGCCCTTTTCTTTAGAACTGAAAATGATAATAGTTTTAATGCACAATGCTTAAATGAGATGTTTTTGTGTGGTACTAAAGTATTATGTAATGCAGCAATATAATTATTTATGTCCATAGAATAGGAGTCTGTAAATTTACTTTCCAAAAAATCATACTTTTCTCTCAATTAACAGTGGCTTTGAGATGACTTGTATTTTTTTTCCAATTGCTTTTGTGAATTACCATATTTGCAGATTGAAATCCAGTGACTTTTGATTTACACCTGAGCCGAAATTCTCCTGAAAATTAATCTGATTCCAAAACATACATTTTTAGAAATATATGTTGTTTCAAAGCATCTATACAGATTTTTTTCTTGAACTCAAACAGCTTCACCATTCATCAGCGGGAGATAAAGGGCAATTTTTTAAAAACTAGAGAGCAAGGGAAGTAAAGGAGACTAGAATTAAAGTTTAGGGTCAGCTTTAAATACAACTTTAAGCGTTACAAAGATTTTTATGTTTATACACATACACACTTCCTCCTGTAAAACCACTTCTAATCTGAAGATAATAGCACCTCAGAACCCCCATGAGAAATACTTTACAAACAGAAAATTGATTTATAGGTCATTCCCAAAGTAGAATGTGCAAAATGGGCCTTGCTTGATTTTTAAGCAAGGTGTTGATTTTTGTTTTAGGCGTTTTAAGGTGTTGATTTTTAAGATGACCCTAATCTTAAGGTTCTTCTTAAAGATAATGAGTTTACCTACTGTCCACATGTTTTACCTCCTAAAATGTCTTCAGAAATGCAGCTGCATTTCCGAAGTGTGAACCACAATGAAGTGGGGAGGGAGAGAAGCCTCAACAATCAAGTGAGGAAGCAGTGGACGTGGTACGCAAGCAAAGGGCCTGGGATGATGTGAACAATCACAGTCAACAAAGCAGGGCTGAAGTGGGGTCACACCAAGCATATGCATGTAAATAAGGAAATGCCTACAGGATGGCATTATGGGGAACCAGCATGGCTAGGTGCCTCTCTGAAATGCCTGTACACTACCGCATGGCAGCACAGGTAACAAACAGGAGGAATTAGGCGTCTGTGTGCACTCATAGGGCTATGACCTCATTGGGATCACAGAGAAGCGCTAGGGTAGCTCACATGACTGGAGTGCTCTGACAGATGGATACAGGCTCTTTAGGAAGGGCAGGCCAGGAAGGCAAGGAGGGGAAGTTGCCCTGTATGTAAGAGAGCAGCTGGAAAGCATGGAGCTCTGCCTGAGGATGGGTGGTGCTGAGCCAACTGAGAGTTTATAGATTAGGATTAGTGGGCAGACCAACATGGATGACATTGTTGTGGGTGTCTGCTATAGACCAGCTGATCAGGAAGAAGAGGTAGATGTGGCCTTCTTCAGACAACTGGAAGAAGCCTCACATTCATAATTCCTGGTCCTCATGGGGGACTTAAGCCACTCCGCCCACCGCTGGAAAGCAGCTCTGCAGAGCAGGACCTAGGGGTCCTGGTGGACACCAAATTGAACATGAACCCACAGCGCACCCTTGCGGCAAAGACAACCAGCAGAATCCTGGGCTGCATGAGGAGGAGGGTTGCCAGCAGGTCCAAGGAGGTAGGGAGGTAAACCGTCCCCTCTATTCAGTACTAGGGAAACCACATGTGGAGTACTGTGTCTGGTTCTGGGTTCCCTGATACATTGAAAGACATGGACTTAAAGAAGCAAGTCCAGAAAAGGGACACAAAGATGATTAAGGTCTTGGAGGATCTTTCGTATGAGGAGAGGCTGAGAGAGCTGGGACTGTTTTGCCTTGAGAAGCTTTGAAGCACCACCATGTGATAGACATGTGTCTGGGGCTCTATTTGAAAAATCAGCCGGGAAATGTGGAATACTCGAATCTTAACCCAAAGCATCAGCATTTGAAAATATTAATATAAATTATTTTCCACGCTATTGGCAGAACCAGAAAACAGAACACAGGACTTCTGACTTCAGCTTTGTTTTGAATAGCATAAGTTAACAGTAACACTGCTAGGTTTTGAAAAAAACGAGAGAGACTCAAACCATCCATTCAGCATTTCTGTTGCAGAAAACATCCCATTATTTGCTAGCAAACCACTGAACCATTACCCAATGGTTTTCTTTCCAAAAACTGACTTAAGTTGGGTCTTAAAATAATTAACTTCCTGTCCTACTAATACTATTACCTGTACGCTTCCAGTCTGCTCTGCCACTTGGACACTGGTGTTACTCCTTCTGGGCTAAATGATCAGGGAAGAAAAAAGTAGTGAAAATAAGAAAACTAGCATTATGTTTTATAAGCACAAAAATATTTACAAGATAACCCTGAAAAGAGAATGCTTTTTATGACAGTATTTTATATTAACATCTCAGGTGACTCCTGACTTTGACTTGTATGGTTTGCAGCAAAATTGTTCACTGATATCTCCATTTTTATTATATTACTCAATCAAAGAAACCCTCAAAATTCTTTTCCAACAAACTTTAAAGTATCTTTGAGATAAGGAAAGAAGAGGCACAGAGAAACAAAATAATCACAGGAAAAGCTAGTAAAACATTGTGATACATATCTAGAAATCTAGGTCCTGATCCTTGATGACAGTAAAGTACGTTGCCTTGTACATGTGCTTGGTTCCATCCTTAATGTTATTTACATTTGCATCAGTTCTCAGTGGTCTGTCCTACCTGAACTTCTGCTGTTGGTCCTCTCTTTGGGTAGGGATTGTCTTCTCTGTGTGACACTGGCGATGAGAAGACACTGCCTGTTCATACAGCCCAGTTATGTGAGCTGCAAGGTAAAGAGTATTATTGAATATGCATGTTCTGCTAAGCACTGCTAAGTGTTATGAATAAAACCCATAAAATGATATATTTTTAATGCATCTTCCTATCACTTGATGAAAACCTAACAAATTCTTTATTACTGGGAGGGAAGAGGCAGAAAGAACTTAATTCCAAAATCAAATTTAGAACAGTAACAGATAGGAAATTAATTCAATTCAATGTAGAAAGAACCAGAAGCAGATTAAGTTCGTACCCCTACCCTGTATTTCCTGAAATATCTTTATATTCTTTCAAGATACAAATCAAATGCCTGTGAATAGGAAAAGTTGCTGACATTCAGCCACTTTCTGACTGGGGAGCAACATTCCAGGTCTCTATCTCCAGCTGAAGAAAATAATGTGGGCTTTCAGGGACCTTTATTACTTTCAGCTTACTTAAGTTGTGCTTAATTGTGGCTATGAAGAAGCCATAATCAACATTCTCATGGAAGGAACTACTAGTTCAATATGTATAATGGAGAAAAGCTAATCTTTCCATATTTAAGACTGTGACCAGCTTTGGGGCTTTACTGTTTCCCTGTCCTCTGACATCATCTATAAAACGTGTTGCTTGCTTCATGCCTCACACCTAAACTGTGAGTCCAAAGAAATTTCCTTGGTTGAAAATAAATTTCCATGGGAAAATTTAGATCTGAGTATTTGAAAGATAGGATCCTATTTGATTATGACAACATATCTTAGTGTTTTGGGAATTATGTAATTGAAGACTTCACTATTAGTTTTTTGTTTTGGTTTGGGTTTTTGTCAGCTTTTTCACCATAAAATATACTTTTATTTTCCTTCTTTTTCTATTTTTGCCTATCTTAAAAAGCTTCTTTTTCACACTGTCTTCTTCATTAATAATGGTATGTTGCACGTACACCTCCATTTTAATTATGTTTTTAAATCAGGAAACTGTGTAGTATGCATTTGTTGCAGCAGTTTCCATTTACTTTGCACACAATCCTTTTTTAAACAAGCAGAAATACTCTTGACAAGGCAGGAAGGGCAGAAAAATAACACTTTAAAAGCTAGCATCACTATGGGATTGAATGCTATGGATTTTTTAATGGAAAAGGCTTATGGATTTTAAAAGAAACAAACATCTTAATTTTTATTTGTACCTATTGAAAACATTACTAAATGTTAACAAGTATCTTATGAAAACTTCAACTGAAATCCACAAGGGAAAACTAATACATTGTTCCATCTTTCCCACAGGCAAGGTTAATGTAGCCAAAACACATGATCATTTGAGATCAGATTTTCAAGTGTAATAAATAACCAGGACTTATCCAGATCCAGTTGCTTTGAAAAACTTGTCTGAAAAGTTGATACTTGGGTACTGTCATAGTTCTTATACCTAAGAAATACATGTGGAAATGTAAGTCAAAATGCTAAATACACATCCCTAAACACAGGAACTGTTTTTTTAGAGGTGCTGAATCACTGATGCTAACACGTCCTAATCACCTGTGAGAATCACACAGAAGCACGTACATAGCACGTAGATGAATTCACTTTTGTGTTCCTTCTTTAAAAATAATACTACAGTACTTAAAACCTTATTATAGTATTTCACAATTTTAAAAGACAGATATTCAATTTTTATTACCTGTATCACTGAGATTTTCAGTTGACTTCTCCCAGTTAGGGAAGGACTGCAATGAAGAAGGAATAACTGTGACCATGTGAGAAACAGACCTCACAATAGCAGCATCCTGTTCAAAGGACTTCTCTCCTAAACAAGTGTTATCTTATTACCCGAGAATGAGACTACAAGAATGGAGGTATTTCACTGTGTTAGAAAACATGGTGAAAAAGGAAATGAAGTACAATTTCCCTGGTCTGAACAGGTATTTGTTTCCTTTTTGATGACCTACTTCACAGATGGCTTTGTATTTTATATGGTTGCCGTTTATTAAATCAACTAAGCCAGTTCACATTCAAACTCAAACCCTCCTGCAAAGGATTTGAACCAGATCTAAAACTCATGGTCACAACAAGAAGTCAAACGGGAAATATGTTCAGGAATTTGTAGGCTTCATTACTGAGGAGCTCTTTTGTGGTTGGTTTGCAGTAAAGTGTTTGAGGGGTAAGAGACTCTAAACTAAGCTGTTTCCTGTATTCTTATGTTGTCCCTGAAGCAGTTAATTGGAAACCAGAATTCCTGTGACCAGGCAGTCTAGGTTCTAACAGACCTGGGGAACAGTGGAGACTTGGGAGGAGCGTGACACCGATTCCCGGGTCACAGCAGGTCCACAGTGAGGCTCTACTGCTCAGAAAAATAGTTGTCCAATGTGAAATCTGTACTTGGAAATGTGCTTTGGTAGCTGGTACAACCAACAATAGTCACTAGGCAAGTCCATTGGAACTGAGCAGCATGTGAGATTCAGCACCTGGATCTCACCAAAGCAAATAAATGTCTGCCTAGACGATAGAGGCAGACGGAGTTACCTATACATCACTTCTCTTGTGTTCCTTGTTCCAGAAAGGTGTGAGTTCCTTCCTGTTTTTTTTGCTAGATATTTCTTTACTCTCTTTTTAAAATTTGTATGTCACTTGAAAGTACTGAGCAAGAATATATACAGAAGCTTGTTATATAAAAAAAATAGGCTGTAGTTGCAGCAAATGAAAATGCTAACCTGGCTAAAAAGTTCAGAGACAATTCTAGAATTACATGGGTTTTTTTTTAAGCTTGTAAGGAAAAATAATAGTAAAGTTATAGATCTATCCAGAAAGCTAGGAAAAGGAAATAAACAGCATTTAAAACTGGAGAGATCTTTGACTAAATGGAAGTAAAAGTATTTCTTAAATGAGACAAAAAAAAGCCCCCAGATTGTTTTTGGATTATCCCAAAAGCAGGGTTTAAACTCTCACTATGGAAAAACCAGCCGGGTTAGCTCAGTTGGTTAGAGCATGGTGCTCATAATGCCAAGTTCACAGGTTCAATCCCTGCTTACTGCAGGGGGGTTGGGCTCGATGATCTCTCAAGGTCCCTTCCAACCCAAAGCATTCTATGATTCTATGATTCTATGAAATGGCTGTGGTTGAAATACAAGTCTCTCTACAAGCCGCAATGACAACAGACTGGAAACATTCTCATCCTAATGTTGGGGGATATACACATTTCAGTATTTTTGGCCTGTGTGTTTGGGAATGCATCATTCCATACAGCCACACTCTTGAACTGTTTTGAGCATTGCTTCCCCAAAATAGCAGTAGTGCCATTCAGTAACCCAGCTGAATGCTGAGTGTGGCTCTGCTTTACCATTGAACTACAGCAGAGCTGGTGCTGTGCTCTCCTAACATTTCCTATTTTATTAACAGATAATGCTGTGTTTTAAGGCTGACATATCCAATGCAATACAATGGTTTTGTTGGAAAAAATAGATAAAAACTGTGTTTTTCTCACTGTAACCAGTTCAAGGAGACTTGCAGCATTCTCCTTTTCCTCTTCTGTTCTTGGTTCTTTTACATTCATCTCTTCCAGCTCATTTTCCTGCTTTAAAATGTTGTCTATATATTCCTGGTGGAACAATGAAAAAGAACAAGAAAGATGCAGATGTTTTCTTTGTAGAGGTAGACGTAAGGGGCACATATATAGAGAAAAGAGTTCGTAGAAGTAATGGACGTATATGCTGCTTCTCAATGTCATAAAGGCTCCTTCTGTGAATTTGTGTGAATGGGTTATATAGGTATCTAAAGGTTTGCATGGAGAAACAGTTTTAAAAAACTCAGCAGGTCAAAGAGAGGAGTACTTGCTGGGAAGGTAGCAGGTGAAAGCTTACCAAGGACTAATCAACTCTGAAGACTAGCAAGACTGTTGAATCTGCACAAACTAATATACTAAGGACATCAAGAGTCTGCTGAATCTCTACCAGGCCACTAGCACACATTAGCATCCCCAATGAACTGTGTGACTCAGACCACATCCAGCAGCTATCTAGATGCCCCTGGTGCATCAGCGTGACCCCCTGCTTCTGGGTAGGCAGGTAGGTTTGGCCTCCCAGCTGTTGCAGCAGCCAGGCAAGTACGAGTGAGCATGCAAGTTTTGAGTAAACTATGTGAGTGAATAAAGGAATGTGTTGAGTAAATAGCTGCTACTAATGATAATCAATTATATTATTAAGATCAGCTTCATGAATAAAAGGTGCTCTAACAAACACTGTGATCTCTATCTCCCTCCTGTTTGATCTCCTATTAGGGAAAAGGAAATTTGCAACATCATAATTGAAAAATTAGGTTCAGAAAAAAATCTGAAGCTCTGTTTTTAGACAGATATTTACTTTGCCAGAATCACACTAAGTGCTACAGAAAAGAACACTTTTCCCACACTTTTTTATGCTTTAGAAGATCAGTTGGATGGAAAAAAGGGTCCTTACAGAAGGTTGTCCTAGCACACCACTCTGCTAGAAAGCTACATGCAGTACCGAGCTTTATGAATAGACAAGGTTTGCAGAAGCAATCTGATTCCAGTTCCAGTTCGTTTTCATTCCGTTATACCTCTTAAATCTTAAAAGAGATGGAGAAAGGAAGAGTACATTTTTCTTTAGATCTTGATTCAGTTCTGACAAAGTGAGTATTTGGCTAAAGATTTAAGATACCTCTTTCTGGAAAAATCTGTTAATTAAATATTGATGTATGAGCAATGAGGATATTTCCATTGCACATTAACACAATTATTACAAATGTTTTCTCAGTGTCAATAATTGCATTTCTTCCTTCCCAATGTAATAAACAGCATTCTTCTTTCTCTAAAAGCCAACAACAGGTCTGGTCAATGAAGAGACTTACCTTGGGATTTTGGTGTGGAACTTCTTTTTATAGACTGTAAAAGGTTAAAATTTAATTCTGATAGACTGGCATGTCCCAAACATGCCAAGGCTGAACAGCTGTCAATATTTTTCTATTGCAAGCATGTCTTCTTTGAAATGTAATGTGGAAAAAAAAAATCTAACTGTCTACAACATGCTACTACCTTCACAAATTTCACATGCTGTTAACTTTCAAATTCAGTCTGCAATGCCATCATCAAAATATGTTAAATGAATAAATTATAGAACACATTGATTATTCTTCAAAAGTAGCAGAATTTTTGTCTCAGGCATATACTGCAAATTCATGTCACCCAATTTCTCTTTTCTCTGTTGCTCACTGGAAGAATGAATAAATGTGATTGTACTACCTTAAGGGACAGCTGCAGCTTTTCTCTTAGTTCATCACTGAGTGGCTTATACTGGAATAGCTGACGGATTTGCAGTTTATTAGGACATTTTCGCACAGGTACTGGGAAGCATGTCTGCTCTTTGGATCCAATGCGGAGACCCCTCCAAATATGTGTTCTGACTGAAGGACCTGTGATCTTCCTCTGAACATAGACAAGAACAAGCAAAAAGAGCAAGAGGCTACTTATATTACTGACTAAATGCAGATACCAGCAATGTGTGTCTCAGCTGAAAAGCACATGCTCTCCTTACAGCATCACAGATTTAGACAATAAAGTAAGTAGATTCTTGGGCACAATTTATCTATTCTAAAAATTCTTCATTTGGCAGGATGCACTCCCCTTAAAATTGCTATATCACCTTACTGAGAGCAGAAGAAGCCCAAGGTGATTACATTTGCCCTGACAGCCTGCCCCTTGCTTTGCCTGCTTAATAAAATGGACTTAACAATGTCACATTGTTTAGAGCTCCATTTCCTCCACTGTGATAAACATCTATTGCTTAAGGAGCAAAAGACAATTTTGGAACAATTATACCTCAAGAGGAGAAAATGTCTCCCGGGTTCTTGACTGAAGATTTGGAGGAACAATACTCTCTGGTTCTTTCTTCATTACCCAGGGGGAGTCTTCAGCCAAAGGGCGGAGGATAGTAATACTTAAAACACCTGGTTCAAAGACACATTTTGCTAAGAATCAGATCAAATCCAAAAATGATGGGCAAGTGTCTCAAACCTCCAGAAAAATATACTTACCTAAGTATAAAAACCCCTTATTATCAAGTGGTAAAACTCCATGTGAAAATGCAGTGCTTATGGCTACGGATAATATCAGATCACTGAGGTGATTATAGAATAGTTGGACAAGTTCAGATTACCCAGACCATGTTTAACAACAGACTGCCTATGCTACTTGCTTTGAGTCTTGCGTAACAGCTCAGTACAATGTGCAGAGTATCCCAAACCAGGAAGAGCAGACCATTAACCTACATTTACTGAATACTAATCTCAGACGTACATTGTATTCAGAACATGCATAATTATTCACTGTATTTTATACTTCACAATGTGATCACTGGATGGATTCCATTAGAGATTATTTATTATCTCTTTTTATTGTTCTGATTCATTTTAATGTTCTTCAAAATATTTTTTCCAGCCCAACCCAAAATCTAATTAATCTACTATTATCTACCCCATAGGTGGCCTTCAAAATGGATATGACCACTGTGGTACTTTCTCACAATGATACAAAATTGTAGAGCCTTGGTGTCAAGGCAAATAGAGCCAGTATTGAGAAAGGTGGAGTATGAAGTCTGGAAAAGCAAACGTGCTACAATTACAAATGACTGCTGGTTGTGAGCAGGTTTTCTTGATTGGGATTTTCATGGGGTATGTATCTTTCCCATCTTCCTGATCTTTCCACCTTCCTTATCTTTCTGTCTCTCTCAGTGCCCTTTCTCTTTTCCTTTTCTCATGGCAAAATTATTTTATTCAGTTTATACAATGGGGAACTGGTCATTATTGTGAACAGAAGCAGCATTTAAAAATGTGTAAAACCTGGTAAGAGTAGTAGGTGGGAAAGCTGTTCCCCATGCTTATGATCAAATCTTTGATAATGTCTTAGTACTTTACGGCTTGAAGCAAACTGCACTTATCATCCCCTCATATCCAGGGGAACCATACGTTTCTGTCTTTCTAAAGATACATTTATTTTCTTAGGATCTACCTGTTACACCACAGTGTATTTTATAGAAACACAGTATCCCCAACTAACTTTACAATGATGACCAATCATTTCAGGATGTAACTTCTTGTATTGCTACTACGAGGTGGTTGGTGCCATGCACTTTTGGCATCCCCTATCATATTTTTCCAGCTTCTTAATAACATGTATTTATCCTTTCCAACAGCCAGACTAAGGGTCAACATCAGAGTATCATTGTCTTCATTGATAAATAGAGCTATATGATTAATGAAGACTGTGATACATTCAATATTTTTTGATTTTTTGATGGTAAATACACAGAGAATCTATGCATTTGGTAATCGCTTTTGTTTGCATGTCTGAGAATGGGTAAAGATATGCCAGTTGTTTGTTCACTTATCCCTTCACAGTGTCATTCAGTTAATTCTCTGCTTCCCAGAGTTTTCCACAAGCTTCCCCATGCTTCACTGCCAGAAGTGTGGGTGCCTCTCTACATGGGGAAAAACATTTTCAAATTTCCTGTCCAAACAAGAGTTTTGAAACTTCTGACTCCACCTTTGTAATTATTTCTGTTATTAGTTTGTCGGAAAAGAAATAAAATTTTCCTACCTGGACATTCTTGTACAGGATCCTGCAAGACAGCGGCAGTGGGATCACTACAGGCTTCAGCAAGATACTCGTGTACGTCTCTGCTCCGCAGGAGCTCAGTTCCAGAACCATCCGCATAGATGATGAAGAACCTACACAGCCAGCCACACACACCCAATTGCATCGGGCATAGGAGGCAGGACACAGATGGTCCCAGCCGGCTCCAATAGACCCGCCGCAGGACATGGCTGAGCCCCTCAGCCAAGAGGTGGTGCCGCAGGGAAAGTGTGCGTAAGAAAGGGCAAAATGCCACATAGGCAGTGAAGAGTGAGGGAAAAAGTACAAGAAGCAGCCCTGCAGACACCAAGGTCAGAAGAGGAGGAGGGGGAAGAGGTGCTCCTGGTGCTAGAGGAGAGATTCCTCTGCAGCCTGTGGAGAGGACCGTGGTGGAGCAGATATCCACACTGCAGCCTGTGGAGGAGACCATGGTGGAGCAAGTATTCCCCTACAGCCTGTGGACAGGACCATGCCAGTGCAGGCAGATATTTCCTGAAGGAACTGCAGCCCATGGAGAGCCCACGCTGGAGCAGGTTTAACCAAAAGGACTGCAGCCCATGGGAAGGACCCACGACAGAGCAGGGGAAGAGTGTGAGGAGGAAGGAACAGCAGAGAGGATCTCTTATGGGCTGATCACAACCTCCCATCCCCTGTGCTGCTGGGATGGGGAAGAGGTAGAGGGGTCAGGAATGAGGCAGTGATGTTGAGCCTGAGAAAAAGAGGGGATGGGGGAAGGTCGTTTAGTTTTCATCTTTGTTTCTTACAATCCAACTCTATTTTAATCAGCAATAAATTAAATTAATTTTCCCCAAGTTGAGACCATTTTGCCTGTGACGGTAATTGGAAAGTGACCTCCCTGTCTTTATCTTGACCCACGACCTTTTGCATCTTATTTTCCTGCCTTGTCCTGTTGAAGAGGGGGAGTGAGAGAGCACTGGATGAGAGAGAGAGCTGGGTGGGTGTTTGGCAGCTGGCCGAGGTCAACCCACTGCACTGATCAAATCCAATGGCTTTCAAATTGCATTATTTTCTAGATGACAAAAATGAAAAAGTACTGTGATGACATGACAAAAAAATGGAACTCGACAAAAGATGACGACATGAAATGTGCAAATACAGAGTACTGAACAAAGGAAGTGCAAATCTACAAACCCTGTACAAATACAGTGTAGTGAAGAAAGAAAGTGTAAACCTATGAATCCAGTGCAGTTTACCTGGGGACATGCTCATCATAAGTGATAGGTTTGTTAACTTCTGGGAGTGCTGATGCTGAACTTCTGTCTTCCTTGTCATCAGAGCCAATGCTAGGAACACAAACAGATGTGCTGCCATCAGCCATGACCTATAATAGAAATTACATAAAATTGCTTGGGTTACATGATACATTTAAAACAGTAACTTGCTGTAATAAAAAAAAAACAACTGTAATATGACCTCGCCCAGTGAAAGAGACAGAAAACACATATTTCATGTGTATAAATGTGTGTATCTATAGGCGCATATATTTATACATTTACCTATATACCTGTATAGATACATACATCTGTATGTATATACACATTTTTAGATATATATACACATTTA